TAAAATAGTAAATTTTCACTTACTGAGGAAGGAATTCAGGAGGAATTTGGTGTAAATCATGTCGGACATTTTGTAAGTAAAGCAAATGAATTATTACTGAATTATTAAATTATTAAACAATAAACTCATAATAACAAAACTTTGTTTGTATTGTTAGCTTTTCACTAAATTATTATTAGAAAAAATTAAAGTTTCACAACCAGCACGTATAGTAAATCTTAGTAGTCATGCTTATTTATATGCTGAGGGTGAAAATTTCTTCGAGAAATTAAATGATACTGCTCAAGACACAGTGTCACGTTATCAACAATCAAAACTTGCAAATGTTTTATTTACTAACGAATTAAATAAACGATATTTTAAAGAAGTGAAAGTATATGCTAACTCTGTTCATCCAGGTATAATAAATTAATTTTCAAATTTAATTAAAACAACTGTATTAATAATTAATAATGTTTTTTATTGATATTTATTTAGGTGTCGTTAGTACCGACATGTTGAATAGAGGCCGTAGTTCTCTGCCAGAAAATTTCTTTACTTATGCAATTTCACCCGATGATGGTGCTATTACCACCTTATATTGTGCTACAAGTCCAGAAATCGAACAGAAAAATTATCGTGCAAAGTATTTTGAGCCATTTGGCAATGAAAGGGAACAGTCCGCAGTTGCTCAAGATGAGGATTTAGCCAAAAGACTTTGGGAATATACCGAGAATTTAATAAATGAAAAACTCCCAAATAAAGGGCGGAACCAGTTGTAAATTTTAAGACCCGGATTGGATTTGCGTGTAATATAAAACTGGTTATTATTTAAGTTAAACCGGGTGGAATTTAAACCCCAAATCATTTATCTTATTTACGTGAAATTTTAGCATTTTCTCTATTTCTACAAAAAATAATTATTTCTTTCTTTATTAATTGTCACGAATTAAAATGAAAAAAACTATGTATGTGCCTCCAAAATTTGTATTTTTTATAAAATTTCATTTTAATATATCACATCGATTATGCATTTTTTATATCAATATTCGTGTGTACAGTATTCAGTATTTTTTTTTTTGATATATATTTGTCCGAAACGTAGCGAGGTAGCTAGACCAGATGATCGTCGCTATACTTGTTCAGCTGATCTTTGTTTTTTTTATTTAGGACTGGGTGAGGTGAAATTCGCGTTGTAAATTAGTAAAATCCGCTACGTAGATCACGTTAGGGTGAGAATCGACCAGGATGCTCCCCTCAAAATGCAGATAAATGGCATAGCTGCAGCATAATAATAGCCAATCGATGACAACCTGAAAGCTATTTAATCAATACAATTATTCATGAAGAGGTTTGAGGTTTAAAGCTGATATCGATTATTGTTCGTACTAGGGATGGGTTCGGTCGGCTTGTAGTCGGCTAGCCGACCGACTATAGCCGTAGTCGATAATAGTCGACTATTGCGGCTTAGCCGACCGGCTAGCCGACACGTGATATCGGGCCAATTAAATATCATGTTTACGGGATCTTCCGTATTTT